GGTAGAGCTCCCAGGACTACATGGAGACACTGTGCCCCAGATGCCTGCAGACGGCTCAGCCCTGAGCCAGGCCTTCCCCCACCCGAATGACTTTTGTGCCCCTACTCAGGCTGATGCCACTCAGCAGGAGAGGAACCAAGTTAGGTCTGGGGTTATTTTGACCGGCTTTCAACCCTGGGGAAGCTCAGGCCTCCCAGGCACTCTGAGGCCGGTCAAGGCCTTCTGCACCCAGGGCCCAGAGCCGCCTGCATCATGGGAATCCCCCGGAAGCCCTTAGGCGCCTGTTTCCCCTCTTGACTCATTCGTGTGCAGGAGGGGCACAGTCACGAGCCAGCATGACTAGGTCAGCGCTGACAGGCTCACAAGACACTTGGCTGGGAATCAGGCCACAGACATCGGCGGTGAGCTGGGAGGCCTGCAGAGCTCAGGGAACAAACAGAAGCCTAGAGGAGATGCCCACTCCAGCCCCTCGGGCCTCAGGAAGTGGCCCAGCCAGGACACAGGCTCTGACTCCCCAGAGCTCATCCCCCCATTCCTCCTACCCCCTGCTGGGCCACCCTTCCCCCTGCCCAAATTGTCAGCGCCCTGGGGGACTTGTGCCCGTCCGTGTGGCCCAGGTCTGCCACCGTCTTCCCCTGCTCCAGAACATTTCCCCCTCATCCTTTCCTTTCTGCTTCCTAATCAAAACCCAGCTGTTCAAATGACAAAAAATTAAAAAAAAACAAAAAACAAAAAACAGTTGTTTTGTGTCCCTTCAGCCTCTGCTCTCTAGGACAATTCCCAGTTATGTGAGGTACATGGAATTTGGAATCAAAGATCCGTATTGTGGGCGCCTGGGTGGCTCAGTCGTTAAGCGTCTGCCTTCGGCTCAGGTCATGATCCCAGGGTCCTGGGATCGAGTCCCACATCGGGCTCTCTGCTCTGCGGGAAGCCTGCTTCTCCCTCTCCCACTCCCCCTGCTTGTGTTCCTGCTCTCGCTATGTCTCTCTCTGTCAAATAAATAAACAAAATCTTTAAAAAAAAAAAAAAAGATCCATATTGAAATATTGGTGCTGATTAGCTACAAAGTCCCCTGCCTCTCTGAGCCTCATCCTGTGTCCTCATCTCCTCCATGGACAAGTTTAAATGGTTGCCCATGTGTAAATTCATAGCTATTATGAGAATCAAAAACGTTTTTAGATCTGAAATCACTTCATAAACTGTAAAGCGCTTTCATAGCTATAATACAGGACTCATGGCTGACAAGTTGCGTCAGCCGGGTCTTTCTGGAGAAACGACACAAAGGAATGGCTTAGTGGTGGTGTTTGGTGGAGAGATCCACCTAACCAGAGGGCCCTGACCCACGTTCCTACCCTTCCCTGAAATCATATCTCAACACAGGCCCTTGTAGGCAGAGTCTGGTCTGGAATATGGGTAGGAGTTTGAAAACTCCCACGGAATGACCACCACCCCCCAACCCAAGACAGGAAATGGACTAAGTAGGTGTTGGGTTGATACAGACTTGTTTCTGCTTTAGATGTGATTCACCCAGTTTGTCTCAACCATTGTTGAGGGGAGAGGCGATGGAAGGATAAAACATCTGTTTCTGAGGAGGAAAGCTGGGGGGTGCAGAGCCCGTGTGGCTCACAGGAAGGCATTTTCAAACCGTTTGTTGGCTTGGGGGCCTGGAGTGTGATCTGCTAGGGAATCTTGCAGGGGTTTAGCCCCCAGAAGGCCTGGATCCCAGACCCTGCTAAACCACACCCAAACTGTGTGCCCATGGTCATCTCTGGGCCTACATTTCCTGTCTGTACAAGGCCTGTGATAATCCCCAAGTCAGCAGAATTATCTGAGCATTCATGGGTTCACAAGACAGTTGGGTTGCAGGGGAAGGTGCCCACCCGCCCAGCCTCCCAGTGTTCGCAGCCTCAATGTGCGCCCCCCCGCCAACACCCAGCACAGCACTTGTCTGGGCCTCCAACGTGTCTGTCTCCCTGTTGGGCTGATTCCTATGAGCGAGAGAGCAGCGCTTTTTCATCCTATACTTGCATTCACTGTGCACACAGGCCTCATGGAGGCAGGGAGGGCAGTGCATCTGTGATGACTATTCCAGAACTCACACTGCAGCAGGGCCAGATGCCCAGGAAGGCCCCTTCCTCCCTGTGAGGCCAGGATCGCATGTCTACATTGGTGTTGTTTTCAGAGATCTCATTTAGCGTTCCCCCTCTGGGGTCACAGAAAACCTCAGGCCCAGCCAGCAGTTGCCCCAGTGTCTGGGACTGTTCCATCAGTGCCCTTTCTCCTCCTTTGGGGCCAGTCTGATTCAAACCCCAGCTCTGCTGCTGACTAGCTATACCCTTGGGCAACTCACTTAACCATTCTGTGCCTGAGTTTTCTCTTCTGTAAAATGGGAATAATAATTCAATCTACTGCTGGGTAGATGTATATTCAGCTTGATAAGAAATGTCAAATTTGTTTTCTGAGGGGGTTATACCAATTTATATCCCCAATAACTGCCTAAGAGATGTTATGGCCCATATCCCCTTCTACCTCTGTATTGTCAAACTTTGAAACTTTTGCCAGCCAAGGTGGATGTAACATGGTATTCATTATGGTGCTTGTTTGCATTTCTCTGAGTGCTAATGGGGCTGGGTATGCCTTCATATGTTTATTAGCCGTATATATTTTCCCTTCAGTCAAATGTCTATTCATATCTTCAGTTCATTTTTCTCTTGTATTATTTATCTTTTTGTTTAACTGATTTGTAGGAGTTCTCTATCTTTTCCTATATATTCTTTTTTTTTTAAAGATTTTATTTATTCATTTGACAGAGAGAGAGAGACACAGCGAGAAAGGAAACACAAGCAGGGGGAGTGGGAGAGG